CTAAAGGAGATGGCAGAAGGCAGCAAGATCCCAAATTAATACATGGTTAAGGCAATAGTGTGACAAATATGTTAGGCATCACTGTAGCCTTATTTGTAAGAACCATAGAGTCAGGATGAAAAATGCAGGTGTTCACATATGGATATACACACTAAACACAGAAGATGCATGTTTTGGTGGGATGATTGTCCAAACTGTTCTGCCAACAACTACTATGGCATTTAACAAAGTAGCTGAAGACCTTTTAAGTTCTTACTGTAACATCCTTTCTTTTTAGGTTTGGTTATCTTTATACATAAATTCTCCATTCATTCATACGGACTGGCAATTACTATCTCCAAATTTTTTCCCAATATGTGTACCACAATAGTCAGACACACAGATATATCTGAGCAGAAGCTTCTTCCTTTTACATACCAGAACCCTACCTCTATTGGATTCAAAGAAATGCAGTAGATAAAGGATTCTATTCCCTGCTCCTTCACAGACTAGGCAGGGTGAAGCAAAGTCCTTTAACCTCTGTCTGTTTTTAGTTCTTCCCACTGCAGCTATTCAGTAAACCTTACAACCACATGCTAGGACTGTGTTAAAATAACCCCGTTTACCTCAGCTCCCTGAAGGACAGGATCCTTGTTTTTTTTTTTTTTCTCTCTCTCTCTGTATCTGAAGCACCGAGAATGGTGCCTGATAGATAGTAAGTGCTCAATAGAGATTTGTGAAATGGATGCATTAGACTATGCCTAATTTGGCTTTTGAGAAATGAGAAATGCTAAAACTAGCCAAATAACAATTCTATTTGCACCGAGTTCCTTCCAGTCAAGGGAGCTGCTCTGCTGCTCCTTTGTGCCTCAGCAACTCTGGGAAGTCAGAAAAGCAGAGAGAACTGGGGCTCATCTGGGAGTGATGAGAACAAAACTCAGACCCTAGAAAGTTCACTGCCAGTTGTGGGCAGTGTTTTGCAAGACATGAGAAAATTAGGAATGAGGTTGCCGCCAGGACTTAAACTTTAAGATAAATGCATCGTGAATTAGAGCACCAACATACTAGAGACAGAAGAGCACCTGTTGTAGATAGGTCCTAGGCAGGGAAGGAGGAATGAGGAGGAAACTAACCTTCAGGAGTCCTCCTATGAGTGTGGTGGGAGGGGGACTTCAGAAAGCTGACCTTAAATGTTTAAATGTTCCTAGATTCTTTGGCAAGACCTACCCCATTATGCAAAGCTATAGTAAGTGATCTTAGCTTTATGTTATTCAACTTTTTTTATTCTTTATCTTCATTGGTTTTGATTACGTCCTTGAAAAACAAACTTCTGACTACAATCTGGTAAACCCAAACAGGTGATGCTATGTGCTTGTGTGATAAGAAAGATGTTTAAAGCCCTGACATAGGGTAGATATTGCAGGTCTCCCTACGGTGTTCAGGTCTCCCTACTGTGTTCTCTACATTTGCTTTTCTTCCAGTATACTGGTTATGTGGCTTAAGGTAAACTCATGAGCTGCTAACAATACTATACTCCCAGGAAAGGTCAGCCCATCACCCTAATGTATATAGCTTTACCACTATGCAAAACGTGCAAGGGAATTTATAGCAGCCATCCTAACTTGCTAACAAATAAATGGGCTCCCAGAGGCCTTCATGTGCTGGAAGCCTTTAAATTCAAGAACTCCAATTTAAAACTTTTAGAAACAGCCCAGCTCCATTTTCTTATTTCTTTAACCATCTGACATTACTAAATTGAGAGGAAAAGCTCAAACAAAAAACAGAAATAAAAAAGAAAAGAAATTACAACTCAACAAGGAAAAACAAAATAAAAATTTAAAATCTCAAACTCTGGCCAATGAGAGGTGTTTGAAGTAAATATGAGGAAATCTAGAAACTTGGTTGATACTGTCAATGTCATAAATAAAAATAAAATTTAAATGAATACTCAGTACTAAAACAAAAAAATTTTTCCTACTTCAATTAATTTAAGAAAATATCTCAATAGATGTGAACCTCTGATCAGAAGGTTCATTACCATAACTAGAAGCTCTCTCTCTGAAAATTAATTCAACTGCATTGCATGTACAATGGTTCCACAAAGACATGAGCAAAGGTAGGCCCACCCTTCAAAGCTGCGAGGTATGAAGTGCTCAGAGTGAAGTTTACTTCCTTGAGGTTTAGGCTTTTAGAGTAATGCCAGCTGGATCCTGGAACAAACTCAGCAAATAAGCGATATTCCTAAATTACACCAGAATATCCCAATTAGAGAACAGAGACTCACATCCAAAACAATATTTTAAGGAAATTAAACATCTAATCTGAGTCAAGTGGCTTCTTTAGGAAATACCCTGGTGTGAGTCCTATCTGTTTTTTGGCAGAGGCATGTTTTGGCAGACACAGGGTGGTAACTGTCCAATACTCAATGGCTCCTTCAGATTGAAATCAGATGTATGCAACATTCTCAATTTAAACTGATTAAACACACAGACTAAACCAGGTAATTACAGATGCATGTGCTGGGAAGTGGAAAGGGAGACGGAATGGGGGTTTCTTTATTTTTTAAAGTGTTTTCAAAGATGGGAACAATTTTACAAATAAAAAAGTGGAATTGTGCCAAATACAGAAACAGATGTTTTGGATCGTGAAGCTGCTGGGAATTGAGTCTTCTTGCCTAGTATTATCTGGTTCTGATCCAGGAGTTAAGGAGTCTGGCTAGTTTTACCTCTAGTTTCATTCTGAAGTTGTTTGATTCTATTCATTTACCACCCACCACTGGGGGACGGACACACACACACACACACACACACACACACACACACACATCTTCAGCTGTAGGAAGTTACAAAAAGAGCAATTTAAATGATCTGGTAAAAAAAGAAAATCTGTAAATTTTTATTTCCCTTGACCCTGCACTGCAATGAATGTGTAGGGAGCTTTAGCAAAGTGTTCAGCTAACAAAAGCTCCAAAGTGCATATTCGTTTTTAAAAGCTTATTAGAAAACAGAAAGAGCAATTTCTATAAATATATTTCTCTTGGATGGCTCCAGTGAATTTCTTGTTGACTAGTCCATACCTGCAAGGCTGATGCCTGATCAGTGGCACTCAGCCCCTGAATAGTCACAATTCTGGAAACAGTGGAAGGTGCAGAATCTTGTGAGTACTCCATTTGGATCACTCTAAGCTTTCTATTGTTCACAAAGGTGGAAACTGCAAATTGTGTCTAACATCCACGTGTCTATCCACAAGGGCTGGGATAAAGGCAGTCAATGGCTTAATTCAATTTTACATTTTCAATTTGTGCATTTTATATTCAAGATATTTCATTTGTTTATTCTACTTTTAAATGACTGAGCTTCCCTTTCATGCCTCTTAGGAGTGTTGTGACTGCAATTACCACCACAGTGTAGAAACTTCACAGATACCCATTTCATAGCTTATTTCATTCCCAAAGCTCATGGCACTTTATGGTATTCCCTTATTTGTGATAATGTTTTTCCCTTTTTGGCATAAAAAATATTTCCCTCCCTATCTGAAAAATAAGAATAAGTCAATTGACCAAAGTTCGGTTGTAACTCAGATGAAGAATTTATGGCTGCACACAAATCTCCTCTTTGCTAACTATACTAAAGGCTACATACAGAATCGATAGGTTGAAGCTTTTGAATGCCAACACCGCATATTGAAGATGTCTGACACTTTGTTTCAAATCAGCAATTCTCTTTCTCCCTAAGAAAACTATTTCCTTCATCAGAGAATGATCTTTCTGTTGTATAGGCATATATCCTTTCTGGTTCTTACTGCAGAAAAATATTTTTCTGAAAGACAAAATATCTTTTGTTTTGTCTCTTAATTGCTTTAAGTCTCTCCAGGTCTTACATATCTATAATTCTCCAGAAAAACTTGCAATGCATTGATGTGTAATTAAGTATAATAGAACGATTGTAATTGAAACTCCCCAAATGTTAAGAATCCTACAGAAGGCAAGACACTGACTTAAATTCACATTAAGATCACACCGTCATCAACTTGTATTGCACTTGATAATTTAAAATAATTTTCATACATATTTTGCAGTTCAGAAACTGGGGCCCTCAAAATAAATAATTTTTTAACAGTAAAAGGCTTGCCCCAAGTCACAAAAATATAAAATTACATAGCCAAAGTTTGATTCACCCAGATGTTTGGATTGCAAATTAAAAATACCCTTTCCAAAATGCCACACTTTGTCAATTTCAGATCTTTCTTAGATCTCATTCTGGCAGGAACAGGTTAGCCGGCACTTAACTCCCAAAAGTGGACAGAAATTGAATCCTAAATTTAGAGGCAGCAAAGACAAGGTGTCAAAGTATGTAATGAAAATGGCACAGGTTTCAAAGCCAGACCAACTTCATTTCATTTCCAACTTCATCGCTTAGTGGCTTTAGATCCACAAGCCAGTTACTTAGCTTCCTGGAGCAACAGAACATGTAAAGCAGGAATCATAACTGCAGGATTATTCAGGATTATGCCAGTGCTAAACACAGTGCGTGATATTCAGTAGGTCCTGAATAAATGGCAGGTATTAACATCACTCCCTCTTTTTGGTACTGACTGGAAGAAAGAGAGCAATCCTCACTCCAGATCCAATACCTTACAACCTTTAGAATTAGAAAGCTCATGGTCTCACTCATATTAAGTGCTATCACCCACGGGCACTGACACAGGAAAAAACATTAACTTACTCTCCTTTATACTTTATTAGTGACTAACAATTTCTTCTCCATCTTCATTTGCTGTTCTCAAAATTTGTGAAGATTTACCATTGCTATTTCTCTGTTCTTCCTTATTAAATGCGTTTTGTTGAAATTTCCACTAATTTTGGTTTCCTAGATACTACTAAAAAATTCTCTTTCATATACAATAACTTTTTCTGTTGTTTCTTCTTTTCCCTGTAACTAGTTGATGCTGAGGGAGGGAGGCATGCTGGCATAAAGAAAAGGAATATCCTTTTCTTCTCATGCTGCCCTTGTGAGATCTTG